TTCAAATTGGACAAGGCTCTCATGACCTAAAAGGAAATGAATATGGGTTTCTTCATTTCATAGCAAAGAATTCAAGACCCCAAGGCCAGTGATCCACTTTAAGCTCACAAGGAGGTCTGTTAAGAAGGGACAAGAATTAGGCCCTAGACTCCTGAGCAAATTTGCTTTTCTGTCCAAAGGCTGTATCATAAAAGACTAGCAAACTTTTAACTATAATATGGGCTCATGTTCAACTAGAGTCAATCAGCCACAGCCAGGATCTGCCCTTGGTAAAAGTGTGTCAAAGTAAAGTAGATTGTAGTAGACTTGGCAATGCTATGCACAGAGCTCCCTGCTGCCAGGAGTCCTGCCAGCTGACTGCCCTCAGCTATCAGTCCTCCCAGGAAATTGCCCTTGGCTGGAAACAGTCACGTTGCCCAAGATCATGCTGCCTTCCCAGGGCAGACCTCTGTCTCACTCCAGCTTGGGATGAGTTTACCCTGCTTCTGAGCTCTCCATCTTGTTGGATGAGATCTTTGTTGAGTCTGCACTATGGTCCAACTTCTTTATCTTCTCCATCCCACATCCTTCCCTATCTTCCTATAAGCGGTGATCTCAGGAACACTTCCTAATAAAGCTTCTGCTTGCTAATTTCCATCTCACAGTCTGCTTTTTAGGGAACCTAGCCAGTGACCTGTGTCTTTAGATTGCTTATCATCACTATGAATGTCCAATATCCTCATGACTTTAGTCTTCATTTCTCTCCTATCAAAATCTGCTTTTGAAATTATTTAAAAAACAGGCCGGGTGTGGTGGCTCACACCTGTAATCCCAGCACTTGGGGAGGCCTAGGTGGGCAGATCACCCGAGGTTAAGAGTTCGAGATCAGCCTTTCCAACATGGCAAAACCCATCTCTACTAAAAATACAAAAATTAGCCGGGTGTGGTGGTGGGCTCCTGTAGTCCCAGCTACTCGGGAGGCTGAGGCAGGAGAATCACTTGAACCCAGGAGGCGGAGGTTGCAGTGAGCCAAGATCATGGCACTGCACTCCAGCCTGGGTGACAGAGTGAGACTCTGTCTCAAAAAAAAAAAAAAAAAAAAAAAAAAAGAAATTATTAAAAAAAAAAACAACCCAAAACTCCAAGGTATAACAATATGCTTTTGGAAGGCATCTGATAAACTCATTCCCTATCAGGTGTAACAGACCAATGAACTATAATACATGAAGTGTCCAATTTTCCCTTCTGCAGTGACCTCCCCGCCAATACCCTAACATCCCTCATGAGTTTGTCTATTATGAGTCAAAGCCTTATGCTAAAAACAGAGCTCTAATAAGTGAAATTTCAGGCATTAGTATATAAATGGTCAAAAGAGAGGTCTTACCTATCTAAGTTCTTTTTGGGAAATTGCTAAAACTGTCCATGTATAATACTGTTCACTTCATGCTGGTCACCCCACTAACAAGGTTAGGAATCGATGCACTAAAAAAGTCACTGTGCTTTATTGTGCTTGTGCTCCTGTGACAGCATCATGCCAACTTTGGTGGAGGTGACTCATTAGGAATTTCCTGTTTATTAGAAAAATATTGATATAACCGTCAAGAAAGTCACAGCATGGTCAAGTCACCGTGTTTTGAGTCTTTCATTTTCAGTAATTAAAGTGAACATGTTATCAGAAGGTTTAGAAAGTCCACCCAAAGTCACAATAGCTGCAATTAGTAAACTGAAATGCCAGTTAAAGTCTTTTGAAGCAGAGAATGAAATGAGACTGACCAAGGGTATACGTAAACTCCCCTTAGAAAATGGCTAAAGTAAGGAGATGGACTCTCATTGACCCGTGTCACCCCTCTTTCACACTCATTCCAAGTTTGAGATTTTGCATACGTTTGCCCTTTGGCTAAAGTGTTTCCTTTCTACAAATACAACATTTAAAATTACTTATGTGTGTATTTATATATATATTTTTGTGTGTGTGTGTATACATATATGTTTTACTGAAGCTAATTTCACCCATCTCTGACTCTAAATTTTCCTCTAAACATGTTTCTTAGGTCACCTGAGACTGTTCTCAAAGGTTGAATGGTATTGTTTAATTGAAGATCATCTCCCCTGGGGCTATGGCACTAATGTCCATATTCTTAGACATGTTACTTAATTTACTCTCCCCAGGGTGGCAGTGCTCGTGTATCTTAAGCTTACTTCAAAATGCAGTTATGGTCTCTTGAGTTGCCCCCACATGGACTCTTCAGTAGCTGGAGATTGGGTCCTCCCTATGTTCTGAGTCCCATTTCAGACAGAGAATGAAACTTGAATTCAGGGTTGGGAAGAGAAATTTTCACCACCGGACTTGCATTTCCTGGAAAAAATTTTTAGTTGCATTAGCCAGGGAATCAGGGTCATTTCTATAGCCCCTTTGGGGTTTAGTCCAGTTTTCTCAAATGTGGGCAGTTTTTCCCCCTAGAGAACATTTAGCCACGTCTGGGGACATTTTTGTTTGTCATGACTGAGGTAAGTGGACATTGTCCATAGCATCTGGTGGGTAGAGGCCACACATGCTACACAACCCCCTCCAGTGCACAACCATGTGTCCCCACATGCCCTCAAAACAAAGAGTTATCTAGTACAAAAACATTCACAGGGCCATCACTGAAAAAGCCTGGCTTAGGCAAACCAAGCAGATCATAGACAACAGCTTTATGCTAATTAGGAGATGTGTTTTAGCGTTATTTAGAAGTCTTTTATCTCTCTTCTTTCCTGTGTCCCTGAGCTTCACTTTATAATGGTGTTTCGTGTGAGGCTGCTTTTCCAGCACGGTGCTTTCAAAGAAGTGTTTTGGGATAAGGACTGCAGTTTTGCCAGATATTATTTTCTGTTGCATCTACTCAGTACATATTTATTGGTTATCTTCTTTGTGTCAGGCACTGGGCTAGGTAATGGGACTACTGCAATGACCAAGTTTCGGTGTGTCTTTACCTTCTTGGAGCAGAAATCTGGGAATCAACACTGAGGCCTCCCTCAGGACACAGTGCTCATGTGTACAAATGAGTAAAGATGATGAAAAGTCATGAGGAAGAGATCTGATGGGAAGATTGTTGGTGGGGTGGTTCACAATAGCATGTGGAGAGCTGCCTGGTTCTTTGGCTTTTCTCTCTGTCCTGCCCTAATCTTTGAACAGCCAGCAAGAATACTATTTCTTACATCCCCATGCAATACAGAAATGAGAGAAACTAAGATATACCTGGCAGCACAAAGAGAAAAAGGAGATGGTATTTGCAGGGCTATGCCTGTCCTTTCACCACCTGCTACAGTGTTTCAGGGCTGAAATTAGGTCAACAGGATAGATCATGGTAACAGGAATGCGTCATGTGCCCTCATTCTCTTTGAGCGAAGATGACTGCTTCTCTGTGGAAACCATTTTCTTCTTTTTTAATTTTTTGACAATTCTGCTATTTGTGCCTGTTGTTTGTGAACTTTTCTTTTTGTCCTTTTTGTCTTTTGCCTTTCCTCTTTTCTACTGCCACCAGAATTCATCCCTTCTTTCTGTTTTCCCTTTTTAATTCAAACTTCCCCAGTAACATTTATCCCTTCCCTCTCAAATGAAATAAAAATGGCCAGCAAGCCAAACTTGGAGATTCCATCTAACCCCAACCATGAACTAATTTTTTTTATTAAAGATGCGTTTTTGTATGTGTATTCACATTCTGTCTGTTCTGTCCTTTAATACTGCATGTTGTTTTGACCCAGAATATGTGCTGACTTAGATCCTTAGCTTTCTTACATGCTTATTGCAAAACAAACAAACAAAAGCCAAAGCAAACCAAAACCTGAGGTAAGGAGTTAAATATTTTTATGATGTTATATGAGCAGAGAGTAGGAGACAGTTTATATACACTAGATTTTCCAGCCATATACAAGCATGTTTATTGTAGCATACTTTGTAATGGCAAACAAAACAAGAAACAGCAACAGTGAAAGAGTCAAAACCTGTTGATCAATAAAGGAAAGCATAAAAGTATGATTTATTCATATTATGAAATGTTATATAGGTATTAAGAAGAATAAGTTAATCTACATGAGCTGATCTGGAAAGATGTTGATTATATATTCTTAATTAAGATGGTATGATCATAAGAACAAGACTTCTATGTAGTATGTGCAGACTTATTTGCATGGGAGTAGAGAAAGTGTGGAAGGATGAATACAAATTTGTATTATTGATGACCTCAGGAGGATAGGGTATAAAAGAGACTAACTCATTAAGAATAAATATTAGTCTTATAATTAAAAAATATAGAAAAGGTTTACTGAAAAAAATCTCAATACTCTTTGTATGGCTGACCATAGCTGTGTGTTTATTCATAGGATTGTCCAAAGGGAACAGGCTTGCATGTAAATCCCAATATAGCCTTGAATGTTGCAGTGTCTTTTGAGTGGTTCATCAGGTCAAGCAAGTATACAAGTATACATACAAATGTGTGAGAAGTCAACCACAGGGAGAGTGAGTGCATTAAAGAAAGTAGAAAGGAGATAGCAAGCCCTGGTATTGTTCAGACTCACAAATCTCTTACATAGGCAGAAGCTTCACTCTCCCACTTGGGCTCATAACAGCTGTCATTTGAAAGATTGGGCATAGCTGTCTCTATCATTATGTACATATCTCTTCAAGATAGGAGATCATGTTTGGTTGGAGGTGGGTTCTGGAGTCAGATGCCTTTGCTTCCTGACCTAACTATGTCCAATATATATAGCAATTAACCCAATTGTGCTTTCGTTACCTTGTTTGTAAAATGAAGATAACTTAGAGTCCTTACCTCACTGAATGGTTCTTGGCCCATAATGAATGTTCTAGCTTGGGTAGAGTAGCTTTGGGAATAGTGAAGGGCAGAAACATTTTAAAATTCAGAGAAATCAGTGGGGGACACAGAAGGTAGTGCCTACCTTGGATTGGAAATGAACAGGGAAGGGTCAATATCATTATATGTTAACAGTTCTAAAGTGTTTTCCATCTTCCTATTTTGTAGACCACCATTTTCAACACATTGGCCAGTGAGAAGTCCTTATCTGACTGCAAAAAGGTAAGTCAGCATCTGAGAATTCTAGCATACTGTCAGAGTAATAAAGGTTTCAGAGTTGGTGATATTCGAATGAAAAGCCGTGGTATCAGTGGGGATGTTCTGATGGAATATTATGGCTCTCTTTCTTTAGAGATGGAAATGTGAATGGTTTACTTTAAGGATGTGGGAAACTCCATTATTTGACAGCATTTTGTTATAGAGAAGCTCTGGTTCCATATATTTACATCTCACTATTATCTGATACTTGATCCTGCCAGATGAGCATCAGGGGAGTTCAGGGAATGCTGTATAAACTGCATTGCAGGCTTCTATATCTTTGTTTGCAAATTTAAATCTAATAAATGTAAACCTAATATAATATAAAAATAATTTTGTTTTTTGAAAACTGATCATATAGCATAAAAATCTGGTTTGGATTCACCACAATCAAGCTTGAAAACTGTCATGCTTTGCAAAAGGATTAGCTTCACTAACATCTGATGGAAAACATCCCTGTAATAGATCAAGTTTAAAGACTCCCTGCTATAGCCTCATGTCTAATTCCTGGCTTTTGCAGGCCAGGGATCACATTTATCCACTTCTTTAATCTCAGATTTAGCTAGATATTCTCCTTTGAGGGGGAAGAGAAGTGGCTTCATAGTCCAAACAACTCAAATTCTTTGACACTATCTATTGATACAGAAAACCAGGTGCATGTAGAGTTGATCTGTGCATAATATATAATTCCTTGGCATTTCTTAGGATTTTATATTATGGCATTGTCTGCTATGCTGTTTCTGTTTCTAATGTTGCTTGATATGGAAGTAGGTAGCAGGGTTACTTACCTTTAAAGGTGGCATGAGGGCCTACTGCTCTAAGTACTATTCATTTCATTATTTTGATAATTTTAAAATGTTTTATTACATCTACATCTTCATTGAATTATGCTATATTTGTCTTTTTCTCTGCATTGAGTTGTGTGCTGCCTGAGAATGAAGACTATGTATTATTTTTAGAATTATAGATCTTGGCCAGGAGTGGTGGCTCACGCCTATAATCCTAGCACTTTGGGAGGCTGAAGTGGGCAGATCACGAGGTCAGGAGTTCAAGACCAGCCTGACCAACATGGTGAAACCCTGTCTCTACTAAAAAAAATACAAACATTAGCCAGGTGTGGTGGTGCATGCCTGTAATCCCAGCTACTCGGGAGGCTGAGGCAGGAGAATTGCTTGAACCCAGGTGGTGGAGGTTGCAGTGAGCTGAGATCGTGCCATTGCACTCCAGCCTGGATGACAGAGTGAGTGATACTCCGTCTCAAAAAAAAAAAAAAAAAAAAAAAATTATAGATCTTAGATAATGAGAAGGAAATCTGTGGGATCTCTAGTCTCACCTTTTTACTGCGATGGGACTGCCACTGACATCATTTACAGATGGACCTCTACTCCTTAACTGAATATTCTATTGACAGGGAACCCAATGAGCCTGACTGATTAGTGTCAGGCTCACTAATGTGCACTAGTGAGACAACCCAAAGTGTTAGCAAGTTCTTTATTCTACTGAGCCAATAGTTGCCTCCTTTAGATTCCTTCCTATATATTTCAGTATGAAGCCAGTTAATATGGTTTTCTGAATCTCCTTTCTACTCCATCTCCAGGCTAACAATTTTCCTTTTTCATTTCAATGGGACATTGATATAATTGATTTCTAAGAGCATGGACTATGAGATCATGTTGTCTGGTTTTGAAACCTGGCTCTGCCCCTCACTACTTATGTTATTTTGGGTTGGTTGTTTAACCTACTGGTTCCTTACTTTTGTCATCTGTAAAATGTGCATAATAATTGTGCCTATCTCATATAGTACATGAATTCATACATATAAAATGATTACAAAATTACCCAACATATAGCGAATGCTGTATTAGCTATTATTGTTATTGCTTCTAGACAAGGTTACGCTCCCCACTTTTTTTTTTGGCTCGCACAATCATTGTTATTGATGTCAAGAATTGTATGTCGTCTCCAGATGTGGTCTGTCTGGCATAAAGCATCATGGGACTTCTCACTCCACATTCAACAAGCTTTGTTTACACACCTGGTGTATGCCAGGTACATTGTAAGGTGTGGGCTATGAAGTGAAGGCAAACTATAGGTTTTCTTAAGTGTAGCACCACTACAGTGTAAGATGGCATCAGTTTCTACTTATGAGCCATATCTTTCTGTTGGCTGAGTGAAGTTTGAAGTCCTTGTATGTGGCCTTAAGGCATTTTCACATGAGCTGCTGTTAAACCAGGACTTTCTTTTATATTTAGGTAAATGATTCCTTGAATATGAAGATAGGACATTTAGCTATTCCTGTTGGTTTTTAAAATTTTGATCAATTAATTTTCTGAATTATCCAATTCTGTTATTTGGCTTATTCACTACTTCTTCCAGTTTGATGTCACGCACAAATCAACACAGCATAGTCAGTTTCTATGACTTCAATTTTTTCCATCTAACCAGTTAATGGGTGTTCACAGAACATATGCTATGTGACATGTGTCAGACTATCATGATGAACAAATCATGTATGCATGATCTTTACCCTCATGGAACTTACAGATATTCATTAATAAAGTAATTAGCAAAATTGCGATGGATGATATAATTTTTTTAAGTTGAGAGTTCATGGGATCCCATGCCAGGAGAACCTAACCTACTCAAGGGGTCAGGGAAAATTTCCCTGAAGAAATGATGTTCAAGCAGAGATCCAAAGAATGACGGAGGTTTAGCTCCATGAGCACAAAATGGTGGCAGAACAGCAGGTGTGAATGTCTATAGGTGAGGGGGAGAGCTATACAAAATTCAGAGTGCCTGAAAAATGACAACTTGAATAGGAAAAGATGAGCATTGAGGTCCTTATACAACTATATTAAGAGTTTAAATTATCCTAAGGGTAATGAGAAATGTTTAAAGGGCTTGAATTTGGGAAAGTAGGTGTATGTGCCATGATATGATTTTTAAGATCACTTGGTTACTGAAGGACAGAAAAAGCAGGATTGAGATGTGAAGTCTAATTATAAGGCTACTGCTATAATCTAGGCAAGAGATGATAGTGGCCAGGACCAGAATAAGGGCAGAGGGGAATCAAGAAACATTTGAATGTTTCTCAAAATCTCAAAATCAATAGTATATGATAATTTGGATATGGGAGAGGAAGTAGCTAAGGGGAATTCTTAGATTTCTGACATTGGCCAGTGACAGAATATTGGTTCTATTTTCTGAGACAGGAACCACTAGCAGAGGACCATATTTAGGGAAGAAGTTGATGAGTTCACAATGGTATATGTCAATTTGGTGGTATGTGTGAGACTTAGTAAGGATGACTAGCAGACAGCTGGACATTTTGATTTATAATTGAGGAAAGCATTCTGAGCTTGGATATATGGATATGAGAGGAATATGCATAGAGAGAATGATTGAAAGAGTGGGAATGAATGAGATTACCCAGAGAGGGTGTGTAAAGTGAAAAGGAGGAGGGTTTTCAAGAGTCTTAAGGAAAGTTAACATGTAAGAGCTGGGAGAAGACTATGGATTTTCGAGGGAAGAAGGAAACTGAGAAGCCACAGAGGTTGGAAGATACCAGAAGACTGTGATGTCTGAGAAATCAAGTCAATAAAAACATTATCTATAATAAAAGAGGTAGTCATAAGTATCAAAACTGTTGCTAAGTGATTAAGTAAAATAAAGACTGAAAAGTATCCATTGGCTTTCTTAATACCATAGGCTTGTTGGTTTTATTGAGATTGAAGTGATGGACACAGAAGCCAGATTGTAGTGGGACTGGGACTTAGCCAGGATAAAGAAAAATGTCTCCCTGCTTCGACAACTCTTACTCATATGAATTCTATCCCTTCTTCCTTCCTTCCTATTGTAGGGTAAGATGGACTTAGTAGGGATAATGAAATAAAAAATGGTAAAATAGAGTCTTCTAAAAGCAATTTGTTGCAAGAGGGAGGAGAGAATTGAGTAGTTGGGTAGGGTTATGGGTTGAGGTATGGTATCTTACAATAATGAGACATTTGAGGGTGTTTAAATGCGTAAGAAAGAAAACAATAGGAAAGGAAAGGGGTAAGGATCCATAAGGAAGGAGGGGAATATTCTCTGAGTGAGATCATTGAGAGGATTGAAGACTTTGGATCCTAAAGCACGGAATTATCCCTTGGATGGAGGGACATATCTTGCCCTGCAATAGGAAGGAAGGAAGAAGGGATAGAATTCATGTGTTAATATGGAAGGCTGGGTGCGGTGGCTCATGCCTGTAATGCCAGCACTTTGGGAGGCCGAGGTGGGTAGATCACGAGGTCAGGAGATTGAGCCCATCCTGGCTAACATGGTGAAACCATGTCTCTACTAAAAATACAAAATATTAGCTGGGTGTGGTGACACGTGCCTGTAGTCCCAGCTACTTGGGAGGCTGAGGCAGGAGAATCGCTTGAACCCGGGAGGCGGAGGTTGCAGTGAGCCAAGATTGGGCTGCTGCAGTCCAGCCTGGACAACAGAATGAGACACTGTCTCAAAAAAGAAAGAAAGAAAAAAAAGAGTTATGAAAGCAGGGAGCCAAAATGTGGGCATTCCATCAGATGACTCTGATCTATCTATGTATGTATGTATGTATGTATGTATGTATGTATGTATGTATATATTTATTTATTTATTTTTGCAGGGAAGTGGGATTATTGTTCAACTTCTTTGACTCTGCACAACTATATTATCCATTCACTAGGTAGAACATTTAAAAAAGAAACATTTAAAGTTGTTTACACAAATCTATTTTTTCTATTTTATAGGCAGAAAAATCAAGAAGGACTTTGGTAAATACATTATTAATGTCAAGTTTTACTATTTTCACAGTATTTATTTAGTCTACAGCTACTCCCCCATAATATTTTACATAGATAGCACCATTTACATGATCAGCAATCTCTGCGCAATCTAGTTTGTTCAAATGAGATCTACCTTAAGAAAATTATTCTAGAATC